GTTGGGGCCCACTGGGGTGTGCCTGGGAGTAGGGTCCAGAACTGTAGAATCCCTACAAGGGCGGAACCCAAGGAAGTGGGGCCCCAGGTGGCACTGCCCAGAGGGGCAGAGCCTGGTGGGACCACAGAAGGGAGGTTCACTTATCCCACCCTTCTCCTTTCCTCGGTGCAGGGACATCAAGCCCGACAACATCCTGCTGGACCGCTGTGGCCACATCCGCCTGGCCGACTTCGGCTCCTGTCTCAAGCTGCAGGCAGATGGAACGGTGAGCCAGTGCCCTGGCCACAGAGCAACTCGGGCTGCTAATGAGGGATGGGAGGTGCAGAGTGTGGGGGCAGGGCTGGATTTGGAGGGGGAAGGAGGAGGTGACCCAGGCCTAAGTGTGCATCTGTGTGGCGGAGCATTAGACCAGGCAGAGGAAGAGGCTAAGCATTTGGGGAGTGGGTGGAAGGAGGGCCCAGAGCTGGTGGGCCCAGAGGGGTGGGCCCAAGCCTCGCTCTGCTCTTTTTGGTCCAGGTGCGGTCACTGGTGGCTGTGGGCACCCCAGACTACCTGTCCCCCGAGATCCTGCAGGCTGTGGGCGGTGGGCCTGGGACAGGCAGCTACGGGCCAGAGTGTGACTGGTGGGCGCTGGGTGTGTTCGCCTATGAAATGTTCTACGGGCAGACACCCTTCTACGCGGATTCCACAGCGGAGACCTACGGCAAGATCGTCCACTACAAGGTGAGCATGGCCCCAGGGAGCCCTGGCCTCTCCAGGTAGGCGCTCCCCAACTATCGCCTCCTCTCCCTCTCCCTCTCCCTCTGAGCAGGAGCACCTCTCTCTGCCGCTGGCAGACGAAGGGGTCCCTGAGGAGGCTCAAGACCTCATCCAGCGTCTGCTGTGTCCCCCGGAGACACGGCTGGGCCGGGGTGGAGCAGGCGACTTCCGGACACATCCCTTCTTCTTTGGCCTTGACTGGGATGGTCTCCGAGACAGCATGCCCCCCTTTACACCGGATTTCGAAGGTGCCACCGACACATGCAACTTCGACTTGGTGGAGGACGGGCTCACTGCCATGGTGAGCGGGGGCGGGGTAGGTACCTGCGGCCCCTGCTCGGCTGCGGGAACCTCCCCATGCTCCCTCCATAAAGTTGGAGTAAGGACAGTGCCTACTTCCTGGGGTCCTGAATCACTCATTCCCCAGAGGACCTGCTGTGTGCCCATCTAGTGCTGAGGACCCAGCAGTGAGCTAGACTTATAGTCCAGTGGGGAAACACAGACCAGTCTTCAGACAGTGAAGCCCCAGAATGATCAGGGCTGAGACAATGGAGTGCAGGGGGTGGGGGGCTCCTGACTCAGCAAGGAAGGTCCTGGAGGGCTTCCTGGAGTGGGGAGTTATCTGAGCTGAGACTTCGAGAGATGAGAAGCAGGAGAGGACTCCTCCTCCCTCGGGCTGGCTCTCTTCACCGTGTAACAAGCTGTCGTGGAATGCTTGCTTGGCTCTGGGTGCCCTTTTGCTGGACAATACTGGGGACCGTGTAACAAGCTGTCGTGGAATGCTTGCTTGGCTCTGGGTGCCCTTTTGCTGGACAGTACTGGGGATCCAGCACTGACCAGATCATCTCTGGTCCCTGGCCTCATCTACTTGCAGTCTAGAGAATTAGAGAATTATGGAGAGTGTGGCAGGTACCCTGAAGGGAAGCAACAGGATACAAGAAAAAATAGTGGGGCCAGGCGCCGTGGCTCACGCCTGTAACCCCAGTACTTTGGGAGGCCGAAGCGAGTGGATTGTTTGAGCCCAGGAGTTCGAGACCAGCCTGGGCAATGTGGTGAGACCCTATCTCTGCAAAACTGTTTAAAAAATTGGCTGGGTGTGGCGGCGCATGCCTGTATACTCAGCTCCTAGGGAGGCCGACCTGGGAGGCTCGCTTGAGCCCAGGAGGTCAAGGCTGCAGTGAGCTGTGATTGTGCCACTGTATTCCCGCCTGAGCAACAGAGAGAGACTCTGTCTCAAAAATAAGATAAAATTAAATTAAAATTTAAAAATAGGCTGGGCTGCGGCTGGGCACTGTGGCACATGCCTGTAATTCCAGCACTTTGGGAGTCCGAGGTGGGCGGATCACGAGATCAGGAGTTTGAGGCCAGCCTGGCCAACATGGTGAAACCCCGTCTCTACTAAAAATATAAGAAAAGTCGCTGGGCGTGGTCGCGGTTGCCTGTAATCCCAGCTACTGGGGAAGTTGAGGCAGGAGAATCACTTGAACCCGGGAGGCAGAGTTTGCAGTGAGTCAAGATCATGCCACTGCACTGCAGTCTCGGTGACAGAGTGAGACTCTGTCTCAAAAAAAAGAGAAAAAAAAAATAGGCTGGGCAAGATGGTTCACGCCTGTAATCCCAGAACTTTGGAAGGCTGAGGCAGACAGGTCACTGGAGGTCAGGAGTTCAAGACCAGCCTGGCCAACATGGTGAAACCCTGTGTCTACTAAAAATACAACATTTAGCCAGGCTTGGTGGCGTGTGCCTGTTGTCCCAGCTACTCAGGAGGCTGAGGCAGGAGAATCGCTTGAACCTGGGAGGCGGAGTCTGCAGTGGGCTGGGATCGTGCCACTATACTCTAGACTGGGAGACAGCAAGATTCCATCTAAAAAAAAAAAAAAAAAAGAAGTGGGCCGGGCACAGTGGCTTATATTTGTAATCCCAGCACTTTGGGAGGCTGAGGTTAGAGGACTGCTTGAGCCCAGAGTTTGGGACTAGACCAGCCGAGGCGGGCGGATCACTTGAGGTCAGGAGTTCGAGACCAGCCTGGCCAACATGGTGAAACCCCGTCTCTACTAAAAATATAAAAAATTAGGCCGGGCGCGGTGGCTCACGCCTGTAATCCCAGCACTTTGGAAGGCCAAGGCGGGTGGATCACAAGGTCAGGAGATCAAGACCATCCTGGCTAACACGGTGAAACGGTCTCTACTAAGAAATACAAAAAACTAGCCGGACGAGGTAGTGGGCGCCTATAGTCCCAGCTACTCGGGAGGCTGAGGCCGGAGAATGGCGTGAACCCGGGAGGCAGAGCTTGCAGTGAGCTGAGATCCGGCCACTGCACTCCAGCCTGGGCTACAGAGCGAGACTCCGTCTCAAAAAAAAAAAAAAAAAAAAAAAATTAGCCAGGTGTGGTGGAGGGCACCTGTAATCCCAGCTACTCGGGAAGCTGAAGCAGGAGAATCGCCTGAACCCGGGAGGCAGAGGTTGCAGTGAGCGGAGATCACGCCACTGCACTCCAGCCTGGGCAACAGAGCAAGACTCCTTGTCAAAAAAAAAAAAGAGAAAAAGAAAAAATGCTGGAGAGGCCACTTTAGATAAGCCCTGAGTTGGGGTTGGTTTGTGGGGAACATGTAAGCCAAGATCAAAAAGCAGTGAGGGGCCCACCCTGACGACTGCTGGTCACATCTGTGTGTCTTGTGCAGGAGACACTGTCGGACATTCGGGAAGGTGCGCCGCTGGGGGTCCACCTGCCTTTCGTGGGCTACTCCTACTCCTGCATGGCCCTCAGGTAAGCACTGCCCTGGATGACCTCCAGAGGCCCCGAGGCTGCTGGAGCTTCCTGGGTCCTGCTCCTTGGCAGCCAATAGAGTTGCAGGATCAGTCTTGGAACCTTATTGTTTTGGGACCAAAGACTCCTAAGAGGCCAGAGTTGGAGGACTTTAAAATGTCAGATACATGTACTTCGAAATGTTAGATTGAACTTTAAAACCTCAGAGTTACAGATCGGGCTTTCCAGAATCTCGTAACCATCAACTTTTACGTCTGTAGTACACAGAGTCACAGGACTTCAGAATCTTGGAAAATATGAAGTTGTGACTTTTACAATCTAATTGTAAAAGAATGCAAACTCTTTGAATCACCCACATAATAATAAGGCCATTTAAAAATATTAATTTAGGCCAGGTGCGGTGACTCACACCTGTAATCCCAGCACTTGGGGAGGCCGAGGCGGGTGAATCACCTGAGGTCGGGAGTTCAAGACCAGCCTGACCAACATGGAGAAACCCCATCTCTACTAAAAAAATTAGCTGGGCGTGGTGATGCACGCCTGTAATCCCAGCTACTCAGGAGGCTAAGGGCGGGAGGCAGAGATTGTGGTGAGCTGAGATCGTGCCATTGCACTCCAGCCTGGGTAACAAAAGCAAAACTTCATCTCAAAAAAAAAAAAAAAAGTATTAATTTACAGGCTGGGCATGGTGGCTCACGCTTGGAATCCCAGTACTTTGGGAGGCTGAGGTGGACGGATTGCTTGAGCCCAGGAGTTCAAGACCAGCCTGGGCAATATAATGAGACCCTGTCTCTACAAAAAATTGAAAAAATTTAGCCAGGCATGGCGGTCTGTGCCTGTAGTCCCAGCTATTCAGGAGCTGAAGTAGGAGGATCACTTGAGCCTACAGTTTGAGGCTTCAGTGAGCCATGATAGATTCCAACCTGGGCAACAGAGTGAGATCTGGTCTCAAAAAAAAGTATTAATTACACAAATAATGCATTGCTTATCACAAGTAAATTAGAAAATACAGATAAGGAAAAGGAAGTCGGTATCTCGTGAGCTCACCAGACGGCAGTGGTCCCTGGCTCACACGTGCACGGACACGTTTAAATACTGGAGAACAGGTGTTTTGTTGGTTTTTTTTCCCCCCTTCTTCATGCTACTTTGTCTAAGAGAACAGTTGGTTTTCTTTTTTTTTTTGAGACGGAGTCTCGCTCTGCCGCCCAGGCTGGAGTGCAGTGGCGCGATCTCAGCTCACTGCAAGCTCCGCCTCCCGGGTTCACGCCATTCTCCTGCCTCAGCCTCCCGAGTAGCTGGGACTACAGGCGCCCGCCACCACGCCTGGCTAATTTTTTTTTTTGTATTTTTAGTAGAGACGGGGTTTCACCGTGTTAGCCAGGATGGTCTCGATCTCCTGACCTTGTGATCCACCCGCCTTGGCCTTCCAAAGTGCTGGGATTACAGGCGTGAGCCACTGCACCCGGCAGAACAGTTGGTTTTCTAATCAGCTTTTATTACAGGACAACATTACAAATACTGTACCTTACCGTTAATGAACTCTAACTCGATTCTGAACTGCTGTGGGGCCTGAATGGTGGGTCAGGATTGAACCCATCCTCTATTGGAGCCCAGATGCATGCCCAGGATAGCTGGGTCCTGAGTCATGTTCCCACAGGAGGGACTGCTAGGTTGGTGGGGACAGCCGCTTCGTACCCTAGGGAGGAGCTGTCCCCTTCCCACAGCTGAGTGGGGTGTGCTGATCTCAAGTCGCCATCGTGGGGTCTCATGTCCAGTCTTAGGACCACATCTGTGGAGGTGGCCAGAGCCAAGCAGTCTCCTTCATCAGGTCGGCCTCCCTGTCCTGTGGCCCTAAGAAGAGGGGTCTGCAGAGATCACATGTCAAGGGAGGAGACGAGCTGACCCTGGAACATGGGGGTCTGGACCCCGAGTCACTGCAGAAGGTTTACAAAGAGCAGCTCCCAGGGGCCCAAGGCCAGGGGAGGGGCAGGGCTTTTCCTAAGCAGAGGAGGGGCCACTGGCCCACCTGAGAGTGTTCTCTTCGCGCTGTCGCTCCCCTTCCTCAAATCAGGAGGTCTTTGAAGCAGCTGCCCGTTACCTGCAGGTCAGGAGTTCTGGTTCTCCACCAGAGAATCAGCATTCCGTCTCCCTCCCCACCCCCCTCTTCTCAGGGACAGTGAGGTCCCAGGCCCCACACCCATGGAACTGGAGGCCGAGCAGCTGTTTGAGCCACACGTGCAAGTGCCTAGCCTGGAGTCCTCAGTGTCCCCACGGGATGAAACAGTAAGTTGTGGAGGGGAGGGGGTCCGTCAGGGGCAAGCAGGAGAGAAAAGGTGAGGGCTTCCTGGGTGGCGTGTGCTGTAGAGCCCTCTGGGGACTTCCTGAACAGAAGCAGATAGAAACCACGGACAGACGAGGTTACTTCAGACATGACACGGTCTCTGTAGTTACAGTGGGGCATTAAGTAAGGCTGTGTGTGTTGGTGGGGATCTGAGGAGTTGAACTTTGAGCCGAACGCTCCTGAAGGAGAAGCCAGCCATGGAAAGAAAGGTGCCAGGTGGTCAGGCGAGAGCCTCAAGGGCAAAGGCCTTGAGCAGGTGGGAATGCTGATATCCTGATTTGTTCCTGTTTGGCTGAACCGTTCCTGAGAATGCTGGAGAGGCCAGCAGGAAACAAAACCCAGCAAGGCCTTTTGTCGTGAGGGCATTAGGGAGCCGGAGGGATTCTGAGCAGCAGAGGGACATAGGTTGTGTTCGTGTTTGAGGACCAGCTCTCTGGTCCCTGTGTGGATTTCGAGGACCAGAATCAGAGAAGGGGCTGAGGGAGGTAGGGAAGGGAGGGGGCTTGGATCACTGCAGGAGCTGTGGGGATTCCAGAAATTTTGAGGGGACAGAGAAGTAGGGGACAAGCAAGGATCCCTAGCCTGGAACCAGTGCCCAAGTTCTGAGTCCTCCAGGAGCCACAGGCAGCCTTAAGCTCGGTCCCCATACACAGGCTGAAGTGGCAGTTCCTGCGGCTATCCCTGTGGCAGAGGCTGAGGCCGAGGTGACGCTGCGGGAGCTCCAGGAGGCCCTGGAGGAGGAGGTGCTCACCCGGCAGAGCCTGAGCCGGGAGATGGAGGCCATCCGCATAGCCAACCAGAACTTTGCCAGGTCGGCGTTGGGGCCGGGGCGCGGGGCGCGGGGCCCATGGCAACCCTTGGCAGCCTCTCTCGTCCGACTGGGACTGACTCACCGTCCTTACCTCCCCACAGTCAACTACGCGAGGCAGAGGCTCGGAACCGGGACCTAGAGGCGCACGTACGGCAGTTGCAGGAGCGGATGGAGTTGCTGCAGGCAGAGGGAGCCACAGGCGAGTCCCTCATGTGTCCCCTTCCCTGGAGGGCCGGGAGGAGGTGGGCCGTCTGCTCTGCGGGGCATGTACAGACACCTGGAGGAGGGAAGGGACCCATGCTGGGGCACGCCGCGCCATCGCCCTCCTTTGCCCCTCCACGCGCCCTATGCCTCTTTCTTCTCCTTCCAGCTGTCACGGGGGTCCCCAGTCCCCGGGCCACGGATCCACCTTCCCATGTAAGACCCCTCTCTTTCCCCTGCCTCAGACCTGCTGCCCACTCTACAGATCCCCTCCCTGGCTCCTGGTCTCCCCGTCCAGATACAGGGCTCACCCTACGTCTTTGCGACTTTGGAGGGCAGAAGCCCTTCGTTCAGCCCCAGATCTCCCTCCGTTCAAGGCTCACCAGATTCCCTCCGGGATCTCCCTAGATAACCTCCCCGGCCTCGATTCCCCTCGCTGTCTCTCGCCCCACCGCTGAGGGCTGGGCTGGGCTCCGATCGGGTCACCTGTCCCTTCTCTCTCCAGCTAGATGGCCCCCCGGCCGTGGCTCTGGGCCAGTGCCCGCTGGTGGGGCCAGGCCCCATGCACCGCCGCCACCTGCTGCTCCCTGCCAGGGTACGTCCGGCTGCCCACGCCCCCCTTCGCCGCCGCGCCCCTCGCTCCACCCACCCTGTGTCACCCGCTTAGCTGCGCATTTGCAGGGCTGGGCCCACGGCGGGAGGGCGGATCCTCGGGCAGCCAATCAACACAGGCCGCTAAGAAGCAGCCAATGACGAGTTCAGACGGGATTAGAGGCGTGCGAGTGGACTAACAGCTGCCGGCTGTTGGGGCGGGGGTGGGGAGCAGGGAGGCGTGCGGACCCACCTATGGGCGTAGGCGGGGCGAGTCCCAGGAGCCAATCAGAGGCCCATGCCGGGTGTTAACCTCGCCCTCTCCCCGCAGGTCCCTAGGCCTGGCGTATCGGAGGCGCTTTCCCTGCTCCTGTTCGCCGTTGCTCTGTCTCGTGCCGCCGCCCTGGGCTGCGCTGGGTTGGTGGTCCACGCCGGCCAACTCACCGCAGTCTGGCGCCGCCCGGGAGCCGCTCGCGCTCCCTGAACCCTAGAACTGTCTTCGACTCCGGGGCCCCGTTCAAAGACTGAGCGCCCGGGGCACGGCAAAGAAGCCGCGCCCACCGCCTGCCAGTTCACACCGCTCCGAGCTTGGGTCTCCGCCCAGCTCCAGTCCTGTGATCCGGGCCCGCCCCCTAGCGGCCGGGGAGGGAGGGGCCGGGTTCGCGGCCGGCGAACGGGGCTCGAGGGGACCTTGTAGCCGGGAATGCTGCTGCTGCTGCTGCTGCTGGTGGGGGATCGCAGACCACTTCTTTCGGCCAGGCTAAGGCCCTGACGTGGATGGGCAAACGGCAGACCTGCGAAGGCAGCAAGCCGAGTCGTCCGTGTTCCACTTTCCACGAACCCCCACCTACCGTCGGTTCGCAAACTGCAAATCCTCCCTTGTGCATGACGCCCTGCTCTCTGGGGAGCGTCTGGCGCGACCTCTGCCCGCTTACTCGGGAAATTTGCTTTTGCCAAACCCGCTTTTTCGGGGATCCCGCGCCCCCCTCCTCACGTGCGCTGCTCTCGGAGCCCGAGCCGGCTCTGACTGCTTCGGCGGTTTGGATATTTATTGACCTCGTCCTCCGACTCGCTGACAGGCTGCAGGACCCCGAACACCCCAATCCACGTTTTGGATGCACTGAGACCCCGATAGTCCTCGGTATTTATTGTCTGTCCCCACCTAGGACCCCACCCCCGACCCTCGCGAATAAAAGGTCCTCCATCTGCCCAAAGTTCTGGACTCCGCAGTCCGCGGTTTGCGTAGTGGGCAGGAGGTTGCGCAGCGGGCCAATCCGAAGGCGAGTGGAGGCGGCCGAAGGTCTGGGAGGAGCTAGCGGGCTGCGAAGCGGACGAATCAGGGTTGGGGGAGGAAAAGCTACAGGGCGGGGCCTTGGCGTCCGGCCAATAGGAGGGCGAATGGGCCACCCGGAGGCACCGCCCCGGCCCAGCTGTGGCCCAGCTGTGCCACCGAGCTTCGAGAAGAGGGGGGATGGGCTGGCAGCGCGCGGCCATCCTCCTTCTACTGCGCTTGCGCACGCCACGCGCATCCGCTCCGGGGACGCAAGCTCGAGAAAAGTTGCTGCAAACTTTCTAGCCCGTTCCCCGCCCCTCCTCCCGGCCAGACCCGCCCCCCCTGCGGAGCCGGGAATTCCGAGGGGCGGAGCGCAGGCCGAGATGGGGAATGTGGGGGCCTGCAGAGGACCCTGGAGACGGAGGCGTGCAGAAGCTCAGTCTCGGGGCGGAGGCTTCGCGCCCTTAGCCCTCCTGGACGGCCCGTTACCTTCTGCGTTGTCCCGATGGGGAAACTGAGGCCCTGAGCCAGAAGCACACGCTGGGGGGAGGCAGAAAGCGCGGCCAGAGGCGGAGGGAAAACAAAGGGAGAATCACAGACAGACGGGAGGGGAACGGACACACACACGGGGACAGAGACCCGGGTCTCGCCTTCCCGGCGTGGGGCGCAGTCGGCCAGGGAGAAGATCGAGAACAGCGGGGAGTGGGGGCGAAAAGGGGGGACAGGCGGGGGAGGGGGCTGGGGAAAGCCCAAGGGAGGAAGAGAAGGAGGGAGGAACTTCCCAAAGTTGCAAAACATGGCTACCTTGCCTGCGGAGCCGAGCGCGGGGCCGGCGGCCGGGGGGGAGGCGGTGGCGGCGGCGGCGACCGAAGAGGAGGAGGAGGAAGCGCGCCAGCTCTTGCAGACTTTGCAGGCGGCCGAGGGTGAGGCGGCGGCGGCGGCCGGGGCCGGGGCGGGCGAAGCGGCTGCGGGAGCGGAGGGCCCGGGATCCCCGGGCGTCCCCGGGTCGCCCCCCGAGGCCGCTGCCGAACCGCCCACGGGCCTCCGCTTCTCGCCGGAGCAGGTGGCGTGCGTCTGCGAGGCGCTGCTCCAGGCGGGCCACGCCGGCCGCTTGAGCCGCTTCTTGGGCGCGCTGCCCCCGGCCGAGCGCCTACGTGGCAGCGACCCGGTGCTGCGCGCGCGGGCCCTGGTGGCCTTCCAGCGGGGCGAGTACGCCGAGCTCTACCGGCTACTCGAGAGCCGCCCCTTCCCCGCCGCCCACCACGCCTTCCTGCAGGACCTCTACCTGCGCGCGCGCTACCATGAGGCCGAGCGGGCCCGCGGCCGCGCGCTGGGCGCAGTGGACAAGTATCGACTGCGCAAGAAGTTCCCGCTGCCCAAGACCATCTGGGACGGCGAGGAGACAGTCTACTGCTTCAAGGAGCGCTCCCGCGCCGCGCTCAAGGCCTGCTACCGCGGCAACCGCTACCCCACGCCGGACGAGAAGCGCCGCCTGGCCACACTCACCGGCCTCTCGCTCACGCAGGTCAGCAACTGGTTCAAGAACCGGCGACAGCGCGACCGGACCGGGGCCGGAGGCGGCGCACCCTGCAAGAGGTGAGGGGCCACGGGCGGCGCAAGTCCCGCTCTCCTGGGGACATCTGGTCCACCAGCCCTCCTTCCCCGTGCCTAATACTGGGGCCGGCGTGCCGAGGTCCTTGGACACCTCCCGCTCACAATCCCGGGCGCCCGCGGGGCGCGGGGACTAAGCGTGGACGGGACAGACACCCGCCCGGGCCCTCTCCCCGGCATCACTGTCTCTTCCAGCGGCTCCGCTCCGAGCTCCTGCCCCAATCCCATCGGTGTTGGGGAACCACACTGCGGGGGCACTAGAGGGGCTGCGGAAAGGGGACAGGGGCCTGTGGCCACCCCCAGCCCGCGTAGGGGCTGCTTCCCAGCCCCCTTTCTTCACTGACCATTACTCTTACCCACCCGCCCCCACACCCCCTCCGAGTCCCGACGGCGTGGTCCATCGTCTGCCTTTGTTGTGAAACGTGAACCTTCCCCAGCTCCGGTTTCCCTGTAACCCAAGCCCTTCCCCTCCCACCCTGAGCGCCGGCCTCTCCCTTCTCTGACGCCCCGCAGGGAGGGCACCGGGAACTGTGCTGGCGGCTGCTGCTCTCTTTCTCCAGGGCACTCGCCCTTTATACCCAACCAAGGAAATTTTAGGGCAACCTGGGAGCTCAGTCTCTGGGGACCTGAGGCTGAGGCAGGGGGAGAGCAAGGGCCTCTTCCCTACCCAGCGCTTCTCTGCAGTAGTGTCCATGCAGGACTTGCAAAAGGCCCTGGGGTTTGGGGTGGTCTCAGAGAGACTTCATAACCCCTGGAATGACCCACCGAAACTTGGGCCGGGAAAGGTGGGGGAGCAGCCGGCTGGGTCTGTGGGAGGCCCCACAGGCTAAGGGACCCCAGCTGACAGCCATTTCTCCTGCCAGCGAGTCTGATGGGAATCCCACGACTGAGGACGAGTCCAGCCGAAGTCCTGAGAACCTGGAGAGAGGGGTGGCCCCAGTGTCCGCCGAGGCCGCTGCCCAGGGCTCCATATTCCTGGCAGGGACCGGCCCGCCGGCGCCGTGCCCAGCCTCCTCCTCCATCCTGGTGAACGGGAGCTTCCTGGCGGCTAGCAGCTCCCCAGCAGTGCTTCTCAACGGGGGCCCCGTCATCATCAACGGCCTCGCCCTGGGCGAGGCCTCCAGCCTGGGCCCGCTGCTGCTCACTGGGGGCGGGGGTGCTCCTCCACCGCAGCCCAGCCCTCAGGGGGCCAGCGAGGCCAAGACCTCCCTGGTCCTGGACCCTCAGACAGGGGAGGTACGGCTGGAGGAGGCTCAGCCAGAGGCTCCTGAGACCAAAGGGGCTCAGGTGGCTGCTCCAGGACTAGCCCCTGGAGAGGAGGTCCCAGGGCCCCTGGCCCAAGTGGTGCCTGCTCCCCCGCCGGCTGCCACCTTTCCTCTTCCCCCCGGGCCAGTGCCTGCTGTGGCTGCCCCACAAGTGGTACCACTCTCCCCACCCCCAGGGTACCCCGCGGGCCTGAGCCCCACCTCCCCGCTATTGAACCTACCCCAGGTAGTGCCCACCTCGCAGGTGGTGACCCTGCCCCAGGCTGTGGGGCCCCTGCAGCTGTTGGCAGCCGGGCCAGGCAGCCCTGTGAAGGTGGCAGCTGCAGCAGGCCCTGCCAACGTGCACCTCATCAACTCCGGGGTGGGCGTGACTGCCCTGCAGCTGCCTTCGGCCACTGCCCCAGGTACCCCCATCTCCCTCTCTCAGGCCTGGGTGAGAGCCAGGGGAGGGGGTGCACTCATCTCAGAGGGAGGAGCTGTCAGTGGGCTCCTGGGGGGCATCTCATCCCTGGCAAGTCTCAGTGCCCCAAAGACAAGGCCCACTGGAAGGCTCCTTCTGCCCGCCCTCCGGCCTCACAGTCTCTACCTCTGCTTGGCTTGGCAGGCTCTCCTGGCTCTCACCTGCGCTCGGTCCCTTTCTCCCCACAGGAAACTTCCTCCTGGCCAACCCTGTGTCTGGCAGCCCCATCGTGACGGGTGTGGCCGTGCAGCAGGGCAAGATCATCCTCACCGCCACCTTTCCCACCAGCATGCTCGTCTCCCAGGTCCTGCCGCCAGCTCCTGGCCTGGCCCTGCCCCTGAAGCCAGAGACAGCCATCTCCGTGCCCGAGGGAGGCCTCCCGGTGGCCCCCAGCCCTGCTCTCCCAGAGGCTCATGCCCTAGGCACCCTCTCTGCGCAGCAGCCACCCCCCGCCGCTGCCACCACCTCCGGCACCAGCGTGCCCTTCTCCCCTGACTCCCCTGGCCTCCTTCCCAACTTCCCAGCGCCCCCACCGGAGGGGCTGATGCTGTCACCCGCAGCTGTGCCTGTCTGGCCAGCAGGGCTGGAACTAAGCACAGGAACAGAGGGGCTACTGGAAGCAGAAAAGGGGCTGGGGACACAGGCCCCCCACACCGTGCTGAGGCTGCCAGACCCCGACCCCGAGGGGCTGCTCCTGGGGGCCACTGCAGGGGGTGAAGTTGACGAGGGGTTAGAGGCTGAGGCCAAGGTTCTGACCCAGCTCCAGTCGGTGCCTGTGGAGGAGCCCTTGGAACTGTGACCCAGTGCGGCCCTGTGGCCTCTCCCAACAATGGTGCTGAAGATGCAGGGACAGGAGTGGGAGGAGGGGGCCCCAGAAACACGGTTGCTGAAGACCCCAGCCACCACATCCTTCTGCCCGGGTGGCCTCTCCAAACCCTGGTGGTGCCCGGGGTCACATCCCTCGCTGCCTCCTGTCCAGGTCTCCCTCCCCCTCTGGATGGGAAGCTTCTCTGTTACAGCCCTCCCCATGCTGTGTCCTGCCATATACATGGGGGACGCAGGGTCCTGACTCAGGGGCCCTGCCCCCTCCACTTGGTACTAGCTGTGAGTGGAACACCCTGCCCCAGGGCCGGACTTCCAGCCCCCAGAGCCCTCTCCCTGTCACTCCCTGAAACACTATTAATAGCTCTGCTGATAGCTGGTGTTGTCACAACTGTCTGGAATCCAAAAGTGGAGGACAGGCAGCCCCGCGCCCCCAAGACTGGAGACCCTCCCCAGCATGGCATTTCCTGCTGGGGGCGGGAGGGGGCAGCTGTGGGGAGGCGGGGGTCTTCCCCCACCAGCTCTCCTGGACTCAAGCCCTTGTCCTCATATCCGGCCCAGACCAAAGATTCCCTCATCCCTGGGGGCAGCCCTGCCACTGTGTCTCCTTTGTATCCTAAATCTTTATTTTTCTAGGACGTGTTATGCCTCCATTTTCAATTAAAATAAAGTTACCGGACTACACCACCACCAGGGGTGTGGGGTGCCTTCCAGGGGCGGTCCAAAGGAGCACTGAACATACCCGGCCTTCCCACTGCTGCCTCCCGAGGGGGAAGAGGGGTTTGCGTTCAGATCACGGGGTGGCTGGGGAGGGGGTGGCAATGAGGCCTCTTGCAAGCCACAGGCCTCCAGATGAAGGTGGAAGGAGCACCCCAGTGGGGCAGCAGAGGGGCGCGGGAGGGCCTGCCCTTGTCTCTCTTGCTGGTAACAAAGGTTCCACTTGCTTTATTTTATTTAAAACAATAAATAGTCTAAAAATAGAACAGGAGAGGGAGGAGTAGGGTGAGGTGAGCATGAACAGGGTTGCAACTGTGTGGCTCGGGTGGGGACGGGAAGGGGAGAGGGGTGGGTAAACTTCACCTTCCAATACCCCGC